CCTCTACACTCACCCATACACCCGGGGTGCTACTAGCAGGCCTCTACACTCCACCATACACCGGGGTGTTACTAGCACGCCTCTACACTCCACCATACACCCGGGGTGTTACTAGCAGGCCTCTACACTCCACCATACACCCGGGGTGTTACTAGCACGCCTCTACACTCACCCATACACCCGGGGTGCTACTAGCAGGCCTCTACACTCCACCATACACCCGGGGTGTTACTAGCAGGCCTCTACACTCCACCATACACCCGGGGTGTTACTAGCAGGCCTCTACACTCCACCATACACCCGGGGTGTTACTAGCAGGCCTCTACACTCCACCATACACCCGGAGTGCTACTAGCAGGCCTCTACACTCACCATACACCCGGGGTGTACTAGCAGGCCTCTACACTCCACCATACACCCGGAGTGCTACTAGCAGGCCTCTACACTCCACCATACACCGGGGTGTTACTAGCAGGCCTCTACACTCCACCATCCACCCGGGGTGTTACTAGCAGGCCTCTACACTCCACCATACACCCGGGGTGTTACTAGCAGGCCTCTACACTCCACCATACACCCGGAGTGCTACTAGCAGGCCTCTACACTCCACCATACACCCGGGGTGTACTAGCAGGCCTCTACACTCCACCATACACCCGGGGTGTTACTAGCAGGCCTCTACACTCCACCATACACCCGGGGTGTTACTAGCAGGCCTCTACACTCCACCATACACCCGGAGTGCTACTAGCAGGCCTCTACACTCCACCATACACCCGGGGTGTTACTAGCAGGCCTCTACACTCCACCATACACCCGGGGTGTTACTAGCAGGCCTCTACACTCACCCATACACCCGGAGTGCTACTAGCAGGCCTCTACACTCCACCATACACCCGGGGTGTTACTAGCAGGCCTCTACACTCCACCATACACCCGGAGTGCTACTAGCAGGCCTCTACACTCCACCATTCACCCGGGGTGTTACTAGCAGGCCTCTACACTCCACCATACACCCGGGGTGTTACTAGCAGGCCTCTACACTCCACCATACACCCGGGGTGTTACTAGCAGGCCTCTACACTCACCCATACACCCGGAGTGCTACTAGCAGGCCTCTACACTCCACCATTCACCCGGGGTGTTACTAGCAGGCCTCTACACTCCACCATACACCCGGAGTGCTACTAGCAGGCCTCTACACTCCACCATACACCCGGGGTGTTACTAGCAGGCCTCTACACTCCACCATACACCCGGGGTGTACTAGCAGGCCTCTACACTCCACCATACACCCGGGGTGTTACTAGCAGGCCTCTACACTCACCCATACACCCGGAGTGCTACTAGCAGGCCTCTACACTCCACCATACACCCGGAGTGCTACTAGCAGGCCTCTACACTCCACCATACACCCGGGGTGTTACTAGCAGGCCTCTACACTCCACCATACACCCGGGGTGTTACTAGCAGGCCTCTACACTCCACCATACACCCGGGGTGCTAACGCAAAGTGCTTCTGCCCCTTCTTTTAGCATCCATGGTGAGATTTCATCATGCCCAAGAGCCTAAGTCACGTCCAGATCAAGCAGGTACCTCCCAACCTCCTCTCTGGCAATTTCAACATCTTCCAGGTCTGCTTGGTTCATGGCCGACCCTCTTAGTTCAGGGACTTGCTTCGGGGTGAAAGAAACACTGCCTAGTTGTTTCTGCCTCTACCGGGGATCGAACCCGGGTTCTTAAGACTATGACCCCAGAGCGCTATCCACTCAGCCGCGAGGGTCCCCTACTCTGCGTGTGTGTGTGTGAGAGAGAGAGAGAGAACCCATGTCGGAGCTCAGTCGATTAAGGCAGCGTCTGGGATGCTCCCGGACGCAGGTTCGAATCCTCGTCACGGCCTTTGTGGATTTGTTCAGAGAGAGAGAGAGAGAGAGAGAGAGAGAGAGAGAGAGAGAGAGAGAGAGAGAGAGAGAGAGAGAGAGAGAGAGAGAGAGAGAGAGAGAGAGAGAGAGAGAGAGAGAGAGAGACATAACAGTAAATTATTGATAAACCCGTCACAGAGGAGTGCAAGGCGAGGGAGTCTCTCTGTGGGAGTCTGGAAGAGGAATGTGTTATTAGACACTTCAGGAATGCACATAAAGAGCAAATAAAGGTGAAAGGTTATTGAGAAAGAAGAAAATGTGTAGAGGAGACGAAGAGGAGGCGAGGGAAGTGTGTGGAGGAGACGGATAGACAACTAACAGAGAAAGAACTAATTTTAGCTGAGCTCAGACAGCCTGAATTATTTTCTTCTCTCTCTCTCTCTCTCTCTCTCTCTCTCTCTCTCTCTCTCTCTCTCTCTCTCTCTCTCTCTCTCTCTCTCTCTCTCTCTCATTCTCATTTACCAGCTTGGCAAGTAATTGGTAAATATCACCGGAGCTAATTGCTTCGCAGCTGCACCAATCAGCGACCGCGGTCAGCTTCTGCACTCGGAATCCGAAACGAAATTGGTGATGGCTGGCCCTCCACTCTTGACAGTAACGGATGTTCCTCAGTCTCCCCCTCGTCTTCCTCGTAAAGAAAACGGTGAGCTGATGGCGCCGAAGGAGCCAATGATGGTACTCTTAATTGGTCATTGTTAGCCCGGTGTTAATTTGCTGATTGTTAGCGTGTGTTGCTCATTCTTACCCAATTGGAGCCGATTGTTAGCGCGTGTGTTAATTGGTGATTGATACCGTGTTAACTCTTGAGTTACATTGTGTGTTAAGGATTCGGTAACACTAATTATACTGTGTTATATTACCGTGTTAATACGTCTTATTCTGTGCGTTATGCTCGCCATTGTGTAAATTAGAAAGTACTCTCAGCAGCAGCGACTCGCAAACATTTTCTATGCGTGGGCAGGTTAGGTTAGGTGGGTTGGTGTGTGTGTCAGGTTAGGGTCATACCGTGTACGGTTAGGTCAGGGTTGCCGTAGTGGCCATAACTGCCAGGGTGGTAGTCGAAGGTGGCCAGATATTACGGTGCGACGCGTGGCGACGCATGGCGACGCATGGCGACGCATAGCGACGCATGGCGACGCATGGCGACGCGTGGCGACGCGTGCAGTGAGGGGGGACGAGCCCAGGACGTTGGCAAGTAGAGGACCCGCGTTAGTGCGGCTCCGGCTTTAGTACAGTGGCTCGTTGGTTGCTCCGTTATGAGGCGTGAGAAGCCCTCTTCCTCCTCCTTCTTCCTCTAAACTCAAAATCTCCTGTTCCTTCTCTTTTTCCTCTTCCACCTCCGCACAACTCCCACATCTCCCTCCTCTTGTGTTACCCCCTCACCCCCAGCGACCCCTCCCCCCCCCTCACCCCCAGCGACCCCTCCCCCCCCCCTCACCCCCAGCGACCCCTCCCCCACCCCCGTCTGCAGTCTTATCTGCACATACCCAAAGTAGCAAGGGGTCGGCGGCCGTCTTGAGACCTCTTATCTTTTCTTGTTATGATCTCTTGATTTAAGACGTGGTGAGGGGGGGGGGTAGGTGTTGGTGGTGAGGGGGGGGGGTAGATGGTGGTAGTGAGGGGGTAGATGGGGGGGGTTGCAATTTTTATTTTGTATAGAACACTCTTCAGGTGTACTGTGGGTACTGTGGGTACTGTGGTGTAGAGGTGCTCAGGCAGACGGCTAACACCAGGCATGAACCACATATGTGATCTCTTACTGAGACTAACAGTGGCGTCCCGATCATGCTGCCACAACCCCACATCCAACGGATCTAATCTCCAACTACAAATTTTGCCAAATAGGAGAGATCGACGCCTTGTGGGGCCCAACATGACTTTATAAACAGGTTACAAACACCGTGATGAGCTAGACGCTGGCTAGGTACATTCACAGGCGCTGAGCACCACGAGAAATATGTTTCATAGCCACGCCTCTTAGCTAATATATTCCACGGCTTCTGGAATCGCAAAAAAATTTAAACAAATCCCCCAGTGTAATACATTTCTTGAGAGTAAATCTGATATCAGAGAGGTCAGCAGCAGGGACAGGCAGACCCCTACAGCCACCACTCATTATTATTATTATTAACATCTTTATTGACAAAATTAATTACAATTTTGCCTAATCTGAGGATTTTGATAGTCTTATTGAATTGAGGATAATGCTAGTATTCACTGTCACGTAGGACAGAGGGTCATACATAAGACAATAGGTCTAAACTGTAGGCTGAAGCACATATATATATCATGGTTACAATCAATGTTTTAATGTGTGGATATGTGAAAACAACTTTCTATTGTGCACTGCCACACAAGGGCAGGGATGGGTTTATAAGTGATACAGCTTAGAATACCACCACTCAGCACCAGATGCCAGTGACAGACAGAGGCGGGCCAGTAACCCTCCCCCCGGGGGAGCCATCAGGCAGGACGAGGTGCTGGGTACAATAACAAACCCACGGGGTTAGTATCACTCAAAGCACGTGGAGCGGGTCTGGGGTTACCCTGGGGTCCTTGGATCAACCCCAGGGTAACCCCATCAACCCCCCCCCCCGAGGCTACCCCTCGCTGCTCCTGCCTAACCTCAAGTTAACCTCCGCCACAACACGTGAAGAGAATCATCGGACTGCTGGAGCTCTCATGGCTAAAGTATGTTGACCAGACCACACACTAGAAGGTGAAGGGACGACGACATTTCGGTCCGTCCTGGACCATTCTCAAGTCGATTGTGATGAGGAAACGTTGTTATAGATTCAGCTACTGGGAACAAGTTCCAAGGAGCACCGGAGCACCGCTCCTGTGCCAGGTAAGTCCACTACGGGCTCACCATAGCCCGTGCTACTTGCCCCGCTCCTGTGCCAGGTAAGTCCACTACGGGCTCACCATAGCCCGTGCTACTTGGAACTTGTTCCCAGTAGCTGAATCTATAACAACGTTTCCTCATCACAATCGACTTGAGAATGGTCCAGGACGGACCGAAACGTCGTCGTCCCTTCACCTTCTAGTGTGTGGTCTGGTCAACATACTTCAGCCACGTTATTGTGACTCATCGCCTGGACTCATGACTACATGAATTCCTTCATCATGGAGGGAGTTCATCTCTTCGCAGAACTGCATGTTGTCGACCAATGACTTCGAGCCTCCACAGGCTACTCCACCCTCGACAACACAAAGGTCTGGTGGTCTGGCATTTTGACAGAATCGACCAACTGGTGAAAAATGCGATTTGTCAAAATGTAAGTACCACAATATGGCGTTTTCTATGCACATGGTCACCGACCCTTCAACAATCACCATGCAAAGTTTTAGTGAGACTAGCCTTTGGCTTCTGGCCTCTATCCTTGGGGTAAACGAAGATATAGATATCTTGCTTTTATAGACATAGATATCCGGTGACTATCTTGACAGAGGACCGGGTCTGGGTAGATGCTACTCGTACGTCTTAAGTGTAAAGTCTTCACAATACTTATGAACGGAAATCAAGGTTCTCCGCCTCATGTGTGACCAGCTGTTAAAAGAATGTGTGAGAACATGTGTAGGACACACATGGGAGAACGTTTGGGCAGACACATGGGAGGTGATGGTGGATACATGTTGGAGACATGTATCTCTCCCTGACTCACTCCTTAAGGAGTGAGTCAGGGAGAGAATGTGACAGGTGAGTGCTTCCCCACGACCACAAGAAGGCAGGTGAGTGCTTGCCCACGACCACAAGAAGGCAGGTGAGTGCTTGCCCACGACCACAAGAAGACAGGTGAGTGCTTGCCCACGACCACAAGAAGGGCAGGTGACTGCTTGCCCACGACCACAAGAAGGCAGGTGAGTGCTTGCCCACGACCACAAGAAGGGCAGGTGAGTGCTTGCCCACGACCACAAGAAGGGCAGGTGAGTGCTTGCCCACGACCACAAGAGGGCAGGTGAGTGCTTGCCCACGACCACAAGAAGGCAGGTGACCACTTGCCCACGACCACAAGAGGGCAGGTGACTGCTTGCCCACGACCACAAGAAGGGCAGGTGAGTGCTTGCCCACGACCACAAGAGGGCAGGTGAGTGCTTGCCCACGACCACAAGAAGGCAGGTGACCACTTGCCCACGACCACAAGAGGGCAGGTGACTGCTTGCCCACGACCACAAGAAGGCAGGTGACTGCTTGCCCACGACCACAAGAGGGCAGGTGAGTGCTTGCCCACGACCACAAGAAGGCAGGTGAGTGCTTGCCCACGACCACAAGAAGGGCAGGTGACTGCTTGCCCACGACCACAAGAAGACAGGTGAGTGCTTGCCCACGACCACAAGAAGTCAGGTGAGTGCTTGCCCACGACCACAAGAAGGGCAGGTGACTGCTTGCCCACGACCACAAGAAGACAGGTGAGTGCTTGCCCACGACCACAAGAAGGGCAGGTGAGTGCTTGCCCACGACCACAAGAAGGGCAGGTGAGTACTTGCCCACGACCACAAGAAGGCAGGTGAGTGCTTGCCCACGACCACAAGAAGGACAGGTGAGTGCTTGCCCACGACCACAAGAAGGGCAGGCGAGTGCTTGCCCACGACCACAAGAAGGGCAGGTGAGTGCTTGCCCACGACCACAAGAAGGCAGGTGACTGCTTGCCCACGACCACAAGAAGGGCAGATGACTGCTTGCCCACGACCACAAGAAGGCAGGTGACCACTTGCCCACGACAACAAGATGGCAGGTGACCACTTGCCCACGACCACAAGAAGGGCAGGTGAGTGCTTGCCCACGACCACAAGAAGGGCAGGTGAGTGCTTGCCCACGACCACAAGAGGGCAGGTGAGTGCTTGCCCACGACCACAAGATGGCAGGTGACCGCTTGCCCACGACCACAAGAAGGGCAGGTGACCACTTGCCCACGACAACAAGATGGCAGGTGACCACTTGCCCACGACCACAAGAAGGCAGGTGACCACTTGCCCACGACCACAAGAAGGGCAGGTGAGTGCTTGCCCACGACCACAAGAAGGGCAGGTGAGTGCTTGCCCACGACCACAAGAAGGGCAGGTGAGTGCTTGCCCACGACCACAAGAAGGCAGGTGACCACTTGCCCACGACCACAAGAAGGCAGGTGAGTGCTTGCCCACGACCACAAGAAGGGCAGGTGAGTGCTTGCCCACGACCACAAGAAGGCAGGTGACCGCTTGCCCACGACCACAAGAAGACAGGTGACCGCTTGCCCACGACCACAAGAAGGGCAGGTGAGTGCTTGCCCACGACCACAAGAAGGCAGGTGACCGCTTGCCCACGACCACAAGAAGACAGGTGACCGCTTGCCCACGACCACAAGAAGGGCAGGTGACCGCTTGCCCACGACCACAAGAAGGGCAGGTGACCGCTTGCCCACAACCACAAGAAGGGCAGGTGACCGCTTGCCCACGACCACAGGAAGGCAAGTGACCACTTGCCCATAATCAGATCAGGTTGGGCAGGAACACTTACAGTCATACCAATTACAACAACAAATTCTCCATTGAACCACCTCCTTCTGTACTCCCCACACATATCTATATCTACAATAGATAGATATAGTTTCTGTGGCCAATGTAGGTTACCAGACGTTTGGAGCTATCTTGAGGTTATCTTGAGATGATTTCGGGGCTTTAGTGTCCCCGCGGCCCGGTCCTCGACCAGGCCTCCACCCCCAGGAAGCAGCCCGTGACAGCTGACTAACACCCAGGTACCTATATAACTGCTAGGTAACAGGGGCATAGGGTGAAAGAAACTCTGCCCATTGTTTCTCGTCGGCGTCCGGGATCGAACCCGGGACCACAGGATAACAAGTTCAGCGTGCTGTGCGCTCGGCCGACTGGCTCCCTTGTAGATAAGCTAACCTTATCTTACTTTCCAAAATGGTACATGGGGGGGGGAGGGGTATGTGAGTGTCAGAGACCAGTCTGGGTTGGCCCCCAGTGCCACTCTTAAAGGAATATCAGCATCTGTAGTGACCCCCCAGCGATTTTCATGAAATATGACATACGACAATTTGCTGTAGAGTTTTTAGCAGTTTAATACGTAATATTACTTTTTGCGAGAGATGTGAGGGGGGGAGAGAGGAAGAAGGAGAGAGAAGACGTTAGAGAAAGGGGAGAAAGGCAGAGATGGGGAGGGATAGAGGGGGAAAGAGAGACTGAATAGGGAATAAGAGGGGAAGAGGAGGATTAAAGACCAGGATCCCCCCCACCTAGAAATCCTAAATAACACATAGGTCACGCCATACAACGCTTCAGGCTTAGTCTATCACAATTTCCCCTGACGATATGATATTCACACAATCGCTCACTTCAATATGCATCGCTTACCTGGCCAGGAGGGTGGGCGAGGGCAGGTCCCGCACCTTGCCCCACAATCACCCGTCAATTCCACAACAGCTTTCAGGAGGGTGGGCGAGGGCAGGTCCCGCACCTTGCCCCACAATCACCCGTCAATTCCACAACAGCTTTCAGGAGGGTGGGCGAGGGCAGGTCCCGCACCTTGCCCCACAATCACCCGTCAATTCCACAACAGCTTTCAGGAGGGTGGGCGAGGGCAGGTCCCGCACCTTGCCCCACAATCACCCGTCAATTCCACAACAGCTTTCAGGAGGGTGGGCGAGGGCAGGTCCCGCACCTTGCCCCACAATCACCCGTCAATTCCACAACAGCTTTCAGGGATTGTTGCTTCCTTGCTTCATTGAAACGATTCTTTTTTTATGAATATAGCCAAATATCCAATTCGAACCTGGATATTTGGCTGTAAATACACGAAGCCTAAGAATCACTTCAGAGTATTGAGGACGCGTGACCACACTCAGTGAAGTCAAACAACAAACTGACATTCCGGGGAATAATCAGAGACGAACTCGCCGTCGTGCGACGCCATAAGTCTCCTCCCATTGGTCGCGCCAAGTCACGTGATTTTTAAATTGTTGTTGACGGATATGACGTCAGAGCTCTACTCGGCGCCATCTTGCTTCCCCAAAAATGCACACAAATTTAGATGAAACGGAACACCATTTCTCGTTACATAAATATATATATACATTCTCACATAAGTAAAATATTCCCTAGCACTTCCTTATGTTGATTGTGGGGTGAGTATGACTCATTGAAGGTTGAGTGACGTTGGATTAGGTTGTTCAGGAAGGCACAGAGGAGACGGGGCGGGGAAGAAAGAGAAGGAAAAAGAGAAAGGGACGCTAACACGGGGGGTGGGAAATAAACCCGAGGAAAGGAGAGTGAAAAGGAAATGGTGTCGGTAAATAAAACTGGAACAGGGAAGCCAGGCCCAGGATAAAAGGTTCTCTCGTCATAAATTATACAAGAGGTCGCGGCAGGAAGTTTTTGAAGAACGAGTTTGCACATGTGTGAGACAGGCTTGTTCTGTCCAGTGGACGGGGGGGGGGGAGGGGGTGTGTGTGACAGGCTTGTTCTGTCCAGTGAATGGTGGGGGATGGGGGGAGGGGGGGTGTGAGATAGGCTTGTTCTGTCCAGTGGACGGTGGCGGGGTGGGGGTGTGAGACAGGCTTGTTCTGTCCAGTGGACGGTGGGGGATGGGGGAGGGGGTGTGAGACAGGCTTGTTCTGTCCAGTGAACGGTGGGGGATGGGGGAGGGGGTGTGAGACAGGCTTGTTCTATCCAGTGAATGGTGGGTGTTTTTAGAGCCTTTTTGGTGTACTGAAGGAGGCTACACTCCTTCTCGACCACCAGAGATGTTAACACTATTGAAATGTTAAAAGAAAGAAGCTCTCCTCCATCTCTCAAGAGCTTCTCTTCCCCTATAACCACATATCCCTCGTGTCATCATATTTCTCCTCCTTCCCTTGCTCTTCCTGCCTCCTCTCCTCTTCCTCCTGTTACTTTATCTACTACGGTTCCTTCCCTTCTTTTTAATCCTCCATACTTACTGGTTCTCCTCTTCTGTTTCACTGTTTATTTTGTATATTTTCCTGCTTTCCTACTTCTGCTACTTTCCGTTATCTTCCTCCTGTACCTCTTTCTTCTCCACCTCCTCCTTCTGTACCCCTTCCTCCTGTACCTCTTCCTCTTGTACCTCTTCCTCTTGTACCTCTTCCTCCTGTACCTCTTCCTCTTGTACCTCTTCCTCCTGTACCTCCTCCTTCTGTACCTCTTCCTCCTGTACCTCTTCCTCCTGTACCTCTTCCTCCTGTACCTCCTCCTTCTCCACCTCCTCCATCAATGGCAGCAGTAGAGGTGTTTCCGCTGGGTCGAGCGGTGAGTGACTTCAAGACGCCGAGCTGCACTTAATCTAGGATCTGTGAAGATGACTTATCTTCTCCTTCGTCCCTCCTCCCCCCTACCTTCTCATGTCCCCCCCACACCCCCTCTGTGTGTCCCCTACCTCCCGTCCCCCTCCCCTCACATCCCCCCCCCTCCCTCCATCACCCCCTCTCCTGGAACCACTGTGGTGGAGGAAGATGTGTAGGTTAGGTTAGGTTAGGTTAGGTTAGGTTAGGTTAGGTCGTATGACAGCCTTCAGGGGGGCTGCAGGTGCGGGATTACCTAGGGACTATTGGGGTGTGAGAGGGTCTTATTCCCCCCTCATCACGGTGACACAGTCATTACGGTGACACAGTCATCACGGTGACACAGTCATCACGGTGACACAGTCATCACGGTGACACAGTCATCACGGTGACACAGTCATCACGGTGACACAGTCATCACGGTGACACAGTCATCACGGTGACACAGTCATTACGGTGACAGTCATCACGGTGACACAGTCATCACGGTGACACAGTCATCACGGTGACACAGTCATCACGGTGACAGTCATCACGGTGACACAGTCATCACGGTGACACAGTCATCACGGTGACAGTCATCACGGTGACACAGTCATCACGGTGACACAGTCATACATACTACTCCCTTCTACGTAAGAAGTACAGAGTAGTGGGACGACTTGTCTAGATAAAGTGGAGCGACATGTCCAAAAAAACGAGAGCAACTTGGTCCATAAATTCGGACCTTCAGTTGTATCAAAGTTGGGATCTATGAGACGTATTGTTGCTGAATAATACGTCATACACCCGACGGTAGCGTATACCGTCCCGAGGGTTGGTGTATGTTGGTGTATGTATGTATGTTGATGTATTAAATTGCTCGAACCTAACCCAACCTAACGTGTGGGCCTACACATCCGTTGATAATTTTGACTACACACAAGACACTTGTGTGGTGACTTGTGTGGTGACCAGCAACACTGCTGGTAGCAGTTTTGGTTGTCACTCACAACCACCAGTGCTCCCACCACCACCACCACCAGTACTACCACCACCACCACCACCACCACCACCAGTACTACCACCACCACCACCAACAGGTGCTCCTACCACCACCAGTACTACCACCACCACCACCACCACCACCACCACCACCAGTACTACCACCACCACCACCACCACCACCACCAGCACTACCACCACCACCACCAACAGGTGCTCCTACCACCACCAGTACTACCACCACCACCACCAACAGGTGCTCCTACCACCACCACCACCACCACCACCACCACCAGGTGCTCCTACCACCACCACCACCACCACCACCACCACCAGTACTACCACCACCACCACCACCACCACCACCAGTACTACCACCACCACCACCACCACCACCACCACCACCACCACCACCAGTACTACCACCACCACCACCACCACCACCACCAGTACTACCACCACCACCACCACCAGTACTACCACCACCACCACCACCACCACCAACAGGTGCTCCTACCACCACCACCACCACCAACAGGTGCTCCTACCACCACCACCACCACCAACAGGTGCTCCTACCACCACCACCACCACCAACAGGTGCTCCTACCACCACCACCACCACCAGGTGCTCCTACCACCACGACCACCACCACCACCACCACCACCACCAGATGCTCCTACCACCACAACAACCACCACCACCAGCATCGCTATTGTTACGACCTAATTTAGCCGTATTCAAATTAGTTGTGTGAGTGAGTTAGGGCGGGAGTTTGGCAGCGGCGGAGAACTTCTCCAGTTAATGTAAATAACTGACACAATGTATTACATTTCATATTATGCCAAAAAATGATTAGCATTAGCATATTAATACATATGTATATCTATGTATGTATAGAACAGTGTGGGTTAGTTAGATGTATGAAAAGTGAACCATTTTAAAAAGAGCGAACGAGGCTTCTAAAACTTTTAACTTTTTTGTGGAATATTTTCTGTACTTTAGATTGATTTAGTTAGCAGTTATGATAGATATTATTGTAGTAGTATTAGAAAGGTTGATGTATGGTTGAAGGCATAGATGCTAGTAGATTGTATGGTAGAGTGGGAGTGAGCGGAGATGTGGCAACACTGCTGGGACAATAACATATAAGAGTGTTGTGGTCGGTTGGTCTCCAGTCGCCAGGTGACGGGAGGAGGGGACGGACGTCTCGTCTCTGCTCTCACAGATTATGTCGCCAACCTTCCCACTCATTTTGTTAAATATTATAGTCCAGCGGGTTATTTAGCGAGTACTTTTGTCAGGTGAAGGTTGTCTTTAACTGAAATTATTGTTATGCATTTTGTGTGTGTAGCGATTATCTTGGATAACTAGGGTTTTGTTCAATGAAATATTGGGTTTGAAAGATTCGTCGGAGCCAAGAGGCGATTGTATTGTGTTTGGAGTAAATATTATATTTGTTTGTTATTACAACAATTATTTAATATGAGTATATTTGCTGGCATTGTTTACTTTTATACATAGCTTTAGACAACTTGTAAGCTTTCACTTAATATTTATTCGCGTTTAAACCTGAATTGAGGGTTAGGCTTTGAACTAGTATGTAAAGCTCGTTTATAAGTCACTACCACCACCACCAGTGTCATTAACAGCTACCACCACTACCACCACCTGTGTCACTACCACCACCACCAGTGTCATTAACAGCTACCACCACCAACACCCACTACACCCCACCCACCAACACCCCACACCCTCACAAAACACAGGTCTCAAGCGAGGAAAGAGCAGAGCTGTCGTAACCTAATAGAGGCGGCGGCCCCAGTACCGACCAGAGAGGCGGGTCGTGTGGATGTCCTTCCCACCGCCACTTGAGGAGTGTGTGGGGGCGTCTTACACCCCCACACACTCACCTCAGGAGCGTGGGCGCCTGTGTCCCGCCCCACACATTTATCTGACTGTGGGAACCTATTCGCACGCCCACACCCACCTGGGGAGAATGGGTGCCACTCATAACCACCTGGAGAGGTGCCGGGGTGTGGAGCCCCGGGCGGCCTGACACCCAGCGGGCGAGTAACGACATAACGACGAGGCTTAGCGAGCCCGGACGATGCTCGCCCCAGCACTAACAGCCCGCTGGAACACCCACTGGGATCCACACTGCCACACCTACAGTCGTCTCAAAATTTCTCCTCTGGATTTTTCTTAAGCTTGGTATGCTCTTTCCTCTCTCTCGGCTACGTTAAAACGAGAGACAACGCCACCTACAGTCCGCAATGCAAACCTTCACAACATTTCAATAGCGCTTCTGCTGCCGTAAAAATGCCTTTCTGGGATTTTCTGAGGATTACTGGTTTTCGTTCGCTTGTTCCGCCATTTTCCCCGCGGCAGCAATCAGTGAGGCGGTGTTATGTACACTTGTGGCGGGTCCTTGATGGGCGGAGCACGGGCTGCCCTGCTGCAGGAGTGAAGTATTCGTGGTAATGCCTCGACGCTGCCCCAGCACCTCCGGACAGGAGCGCCTCCTCCAGCGGGATTACCTGGTTGATGGGGTTCTGGGAGTTCTTCCTCTCCCCAAGCCCGGCCCGAGGCCAGGCTTGACTTGTGAGAGTTTGGTCCACAAGGCTGTTGCTTGGAGCGGCTCGCAGACCCACATATACCTGGTTGATGGGGTTCTGGGAGTTCTTCCTCTCCCCAAGCCCGGCCCGAGGCCAGGCTTGACTTGTGAGAGTTTGGTCCACCAGGCTGTTGCTTGGAGCGGCTCGCAGGCCCACATATACCTGGTTGATGGGGTTCTGGGAGTTCTTCCACTCCCCAAGTCCGGCCCGAGGCCAAGCTTGACTTGTGAGAGTTTGGTCCACCAGGCTGTTGCTTGGAGCGGCCCGCAGGCCCACATACCCACCACAGCCCGACCAATGGTCTACAATGGATAACTATGCGACTATAGACTAAGAGAAGCAAGCTAGTAACTCAAAAGCAAGACATGAAACTCGCTACAAGACGATCTTGATTACATTTTGAAGTGGATGAAAGATTGGCAGATACAGTTTAATGCTGACTGCATCTGTCGGGTTCTCAGCTAAGAAAATAGACAAAAGTGGTGCCAGATATCAGCTAGACGAAGATGATAACGCAAAGTGTGAATCCTAGAAAGATCTATATATGAGTCACCATTAGCAGAGATCTTGAGGCAAAAATTCTAAGCAGGATTATATCCAATAAAGCAAATTGACTTTATTACTATTAAGAATTATCCACAACACATCCATGTTAATCTTTAGCTTTATCCTGACCCTTAAACCTTTGTTAACATTATGAAGTATATGTAAATTCTTAATATATGTAATTAATATATATTAAAGGGGCGACGTGACTGAAGTATATAGATGGATGAAGGGGCACAACAATGGGGGATATTAATGATTTGTTAAATATATTAACATAAAATACAACACAAACAACGAAAATAAATTGAATAAATTTCGATTCAAGAAAAACCTGGGTAAATACTGGTTTGGAAATTACGGGTGTTGAGTTGTGGCATATATTACCTGGTAGCACAATGGACGCAGGATCACTTTTGGAGTGTTTCAAGCGTAGGTTAGACACGTATATGAGTGAGTTTGGGTGGATATAAACAGGAGCTGCCTCGTATGGGCCAATAGGCCTTCTGAACTTTCCTTAATTCTTATATACTTATATTTAACTCCGCCCTCCCCCCCCCCCTACTTAACACCTTCTTCCTGCTTCCTCTGCTCTACTCCTCCTGTTCATCTTATCTTGAGGTTATCTTGAGATGATTTCGGGGCTTTAGTGTCCCCGCGGCCCGGTCCTCGACTAGGCCTCCACCCCCAGGAAGCAGCCCGTGACAGCTGACTAACACCCAGGTACCTATTTTACTGCTAGGTAATAGGGGCATAGGGTGAAAGAAACTCTGCCCATTGT